CCATAGGTTTCATAGACTCATCCCTGAGATAGCATGAAGTGAAAGAATATAACTTCTGTCCAATTTCTTGAAAAAATCAGAGAGGTTCTCAGCAGCTCTTCATGATAATATCTGTGTGTAAGAGAGAAGGGTCAGAGAAAGAATCTGTAACTAAGTGAAAACATGGTAAACCCTAGTGGTAGAGCTGGTAGCAATCGTGACAGAAGAGAAAAAAATATCCATTGGAAATTATGCAATTTATTGACTAGGGAAATGATAAAAGGAAAATTGTGGATGTCTGTGTCCTGTTAAACATAAGCCAGGCTTGACATCTGTGGGTTAAAATAAAGCTTTCCTTACTGACTTCTTTGGATAATAACCAGGCTGTGCACTGCCACTGGAAGACCTCTGTTCCCATCTTTCTTTCCTTTTAATTGTTACCTGTACAGTAGCCTCAGCCTGTGAAATACTGCCTTATAATTCATTTGTCTTTGCTACTCATGAGCAATGTTGATCTCAGACAGGAGCACTTCAAGGACATATGATTTCTTTCTATTTGCTCTGAAAGTGGACGGCCCCTGAAGATACCAGGGATTACTATTGGAAGGAAGGGAGGAAGGAAGGAGGAAGAAGGAAGGAAGGAATGATAGAATTCTTGCCAAACAGTGCATTGCAAATATAGAAACTCAGATTTTGAATATAGGCAAGAGATTGGTTCTATGGCCTTGGCACAGCATATTGGTCTTTCAGGCAATCCATGCAAGGGTCTGTCAAAATCATGGAGCTCTCATAACTTTCATGCATCATCCATCTTACACCATTTGATTGTATAAAATCTCCCATCTAAGGGATTTACATTTTTCCTTGGCTCAAAGCTGTTTCAAGAAGTCTTGGACATTCACACATATATATATATATTTTCCAGAATTGTGATTCTGGTGAATCACTTCCATGTGAATCAATATTTTTGTACGTGGCTGGTATTATGAAGGAGGCTGTTCATCAGGAACAGCAGTGTTTGCATAGTTAAATGAATTCAAAATTGAATCCTTAACCTGTGGACAATACTCAGGCCCTATTGGTTCTTGGACTGTCAAATAACTATTTTCCTTATTAAGGATGAATAATCAAGAAGTGTGCCATAGCTACTTCATTTCCTACCTGCCTTCAGAGGCATTTGATCTTCTGTATTCTTAGTCATATTGTGAAGATAACAGTAACTGATAGAAGAGTCATCTTCTGGAGAAAACAGAAATAATGTCTTGTGTTTCTGTACTGCCATGCATGGTAACAACATGGGGACTCACTTTGTAAGTCGCAGATTTCCTGTCTTAGTTCTAAACACATTGAGTTAAAAGAAGTTTCTCGACAACTTCTCCAGGATCTGCTTTCTGAGTTACAAAGTTGTTTTTCCTCCTTCTCTTTCTTAAACTTTGTGTACTGGCTGTGCTGTCAGCCTTGACTAATGAGAAGAATTGATCGCTTACATTTTCATAATGGCCTTTTATATCATTGTTAATCACATATCGTGCTCCCTTGCATCTACCGTTGTCAGGGCACAGGCCTTTAGATCTTCATGTAGATCTTTATTTCTAAAAGCCCTTTTTGCTCTTTCCATTGCTATTCTAACTCCCATCAGTATATCCTGCTATTTATTTATTTATTATTTATTTATTGCAAAGATGAACTCTCTTAAGGATGCCAGTTAGATAAAGAACAAAAACACATCTAGTTTTTGTTATATTGATCAGAGGCCATCACCAGCTCTCTGCCAGAGCTGGGTTTAGAGGTTAAGTCTTTGCTGAGCTGGATAAAGCTGTGGAAAACTTTAATGCGTGGCCATGTTGTTACATAGCCTTGTAAATATACTTGGTTACAACATGCCATGACATGACCATAACCCAAAATAATGCACTTTCTCTGCAATGCAGCAGTGACACAGTGTGGTAGGGTAGAAAAATGTGATATTACAGCAGTACTGCTGAGTAATGTTGTCATATGGTGATCATCAGGCAATAAGCAAGCATTATGCTTCCATGGTGCAATGTAATGATATCCCCTTGATATTTGTCACTCACAATTAGAGCTGTCATGTATGCAATCAATAAATCAGGATAAATCAGTAGGATAAATGTCTTCTTCATCTGCCAGCTAAAAGGACTGGCCCTTTGTCTCAGGCAATAAAAATCTTGGATTAATTGATCATAGATAACCCATAATGAAGAGCTGTTAAGTAATCAGAGTGTTGTTACACAATAAATCATCACTTCATCTCACAGCATGTGGCACTATAACATGATGCTTCTTAGGTCCTGTAAATTTTTATTGTACCTTCTAAGGATGCCTCCTACAAAGAGGCAAACAGAAAAGTGGCAGAAGTATGAGTTCTGCTATGTATTCAGCTCACAGAAGTGGAATTAAGTACAAATCACAAGAAACCCATTTATCTTTCCCTGAGTTTTCTTTAGAAATTTCAATCCTGATATGAAATTTTTAATGGAACCTTTTTTTATTATTATTATTTTTTAATTTAATATTTCAAAATCTAAGCCAAGCTCTGAAAGTTAAATTAGAGTAAGTTATAGTGCTATGACCCATTGCCATCTGTTGCCTGAGAATAAAGTTTTATGCATTAAATGTCAAGGAACATTTCACTAACATTTGTAAGGGAAGAATATTGTTAAGAAAGTATCTGCAAGATGAATCACAGAGAAGACAGAAAGTCAGACTGTAATCTTAGGTGATGTAAGACAGAAGCTGACTCAGTTGAAAAAATTCTGATTTACACCAACTGAATATCTGGCATAATATTGTTGCCATCACTGAGTTGGAAGTGTGAAGAGGGCAGTGCTGGTATTAAGTTTGCTTATGTTGGAAGCCATGATGAAGTCCACCTCAATGTGGAACCCAGAATGTAGGGCTGGAAAAGACTCATTGAGTCCAGTATAAAAACAGCAGGGGCTCTGAAGGGTTCCCTTCATAGTTAAGGAATAATTGCATCCATGTTGCTGGTAGCATCTTGAATCTTGAAACCCAATGCGATTATAGATCTCTGGTTCAGGCACATATGTAGGGATCAAATGCACTCTCAGGTATGGTTGGCAGGTGCACTAAAGTCACATCTAGAGCAGCTGTTATGGAGCAAACCTCATCTTTTCATTTAGCTTTTTTGCACCTTTGACTTTTACTGCACTTACTGCTTTGCCAATTTTATTAATGCACCGTTGCAAATGAAAGCAATGAGAGATTTCAGTTACTTCAGTATAATGAGACATATTTCAGTGGGTTAGGAGAGAAGTGGGATTAAATCATCTGCTTGGCAGTTGTTTGGTTGAGACTTGTCTTTGGCTGCTGGTTCCTTTTTTTTTTTTTAATAATGCATTAAAATTATAGTTCCTATCAGACATAAAAGTTTAGTTTATCCTATATAAAATTATATCTACATTATATCGTGGCCCTTATCTTAGAAGGAAGCCTCATAATGCTTAGTTTAGTAGAAAACAGTCTATGCCATTTAATTGCTCCTGTAGGGAAATCACATTGATTAAAAGGAGCACATCTGCACCTGAACAGTTTGTAGAAATATTTGCAATCAAAGTATCATTATGATTACAAAAATAACCCGTTGCTCCAGTATGTGGTCATTACAGCAGAACAGATGTAACAGTCCTTGAAAAACCCTGTAACTGAAGCCGTGACATTATGTCCTGATGCTCATGTCCATGTCCAAGCTCCAACTTTGTTCAGGTAGAACTCTCACTGAGGTTCATGAGAGTGATACCTGGATAACCAGCAAGTAAGCATTAAAATCTTGATCACATATCAGAAAATGGTAAGCAAGCTCCATGTACCTACTGTAAACTGTGTGTCACAATACACGTCCTGTAATTTATTGTGTTGCCTGTATATATTTGTTAGTAAATAGGCTGAGGTTTTCTACTCAGGAAATCCTGAAGTTCAACTTGTTATCTGCTTGGTGCATAGGCCAACTTCTGTTTGTTTGGTATAAGACCACAAAGAAATTCTCCTGATACTGTTGCTGCACCAAACATATACGACAATAGGTGGCCTAGAATCTCCATAACTTGCTGTTAAAGTTATTTTGGTGAGATAACTGAGTGGCTGAATCATCCATGGAAACAAAGCTGCTTTCTCATTTGTAAAGCCATTAGTCATAAAAAAAGGTGGATGTTCACATGGCAGTACTAACCTTGCAGAAAGTTTTCTCTCTTGTGCATTAACAATTGCAAAATCTCAAAGGATTTTAACCCAGCATTTCCCCCCAAGAACTATTATTTTCAACCCTTGCTAAAGGTAGAAGCAACTGCAGGTTTTTTCTCATTGCATTCAGATAAGGAGATCACACAAGAAAACGAAAAGATTCAGAGTTATCTGAGTTACATTTCCTGATGTTCACAGATGTAGAATTGTAGGGACCGTCAGCTACAGAGAAAGGGAGTAACAGCAAAATGCCATTCTTCACATCAGCTCAATGCTTGTCTGTTTTAGTTACTTGAAACTGTGACACGTCCCCACTTGTTGGTGTCTTCCATGTGCTGTGGAAGTCCAAGTGTCTGTAGCCTGAGTACTGACAGCCATCTTGACAAACCAGCCTCTGCTGCAACTGTTCCCCTTCCCCCTGGCAACCTACAGTGACTGTATTTTGTCTCCTCTCCTTGGGAAATGTCATCATTGTGGTCTAGTGACATAGAGTGGGAAGGGCATGAGGGGAGGAGTGAGGTATCTGCATCCTTCCTCCCCACCTCAAGTTTTATGCATGACTGCACCATTGGCTAGTAGTCCCTCCCATGGAAATGTGTGTCACCTGTTTTGGTAGTGTGAGTGTGCAAAGCATCTTCCTGCTTCCCTGTGGCTGGGGCTCAGAAGACACCTAGCACAAGTATGCATTTGCTGGAGAAGTCTTCTGAAGCCCCATGGGATCAGGAGGCTGAATTAGCATCCCACATGGGATCAAGTGGGGCTGAAGTGGGGCTGAATTCTCTTTTCCTCTCCCTTAACAGGGCATCCCTTTGGAGCTCCTGTGTGGTCCTGCCACTCCTGGCTCTCACCTGGATGTCTGCAGTTCTGGCAATCACAGATCGGCGGTCAGCGCTCTTCCAGATTCTTTTTGCTGTCTTCGACTCATTGGAAGGCTTTGTCATTGTGATGGTCCATTGTATCCTTAGGAGGGAGGTGAGCACAATGACATTTTCTCTTTTATATAAACAACGTACTTACAATAGAAAATATCTGAAAAAAGGCTAATCAGCTGGTAACTTTTCTAATCCTATGAGCTTTTGCATTCCTGTAGGCAGTGACCAAATAAGTGACCATGCTGTTATCAGTCAAAAGATGGAATGCAAGCGAGAATGAATCAGTGGTTGCTATGCTGAGTGTACTGTGGAATGTAATTTGGAGGACATTCTTAACCTACCATTTCATCCAACTGAGATATCAGTCTTGGCTTGTTGAACATTAATCTTTCCAGAATGTTTACACGCCTCCAAATATGGAATCTTAAGGAAATCAAATTTTCTTATTTGATTTTGAGAAAGGCAACTTGCACCAAGGTTAACAGAATGTTTATATGTTGGCAAATAGCACCTAGATATTCGAGCTAGAAAGTAATGTGAGCAATAATCAAGTGAGGAAATTGAGTAAATTTTCTCCAGCCTCCTTGTGGAGACTTAAAATGGTAAAGTATATCAGGGAAGAAAAGGAATAATTTTTTATGAATAACAGAGACAGGGAACCTTTTTTTTTATTATTCTCAGTATTCATTTTATCTTCTTAACAGCTCCTTTAAATCAAGTAAAACAAATTAATTCTTTATGTCAGACCAGTGTAATCAATGGAACTATACCACCAACTTGGCTGAGGTTGCTTAGACTAATTGCATTATGACTATGAGCCTGTATCTTACTCCCATTTTAGTTACTTCCATTTTTTTCTTCTTCATTCATTTCAGTGAGTCTTGAATCAGATGTATATTTCAGCTGATATAGGATTGTAATCAGACATTGTAGACACAAATAGAATGATTTATGTAATAGCATCCATCATAAAAGTAGCGTGAACTACCAAAGCTATATTTGTTGTTGTTGCTGTCAAAAGAATTTGATTTGTTTTGGTACTTCTGTCTGATTCTGACTTGTGAAAATCCATTTGCTCCTTCCTGCAGGTTCAGGATGCTGTGAAGTGCCGAGTAGTAGACCGCCAGGAAGAGGGCAATGGAGACTCTGGGGGGTCATTTCAGAACGGACATGCTCAACTAATGGTAGGGAAAACCACTATCTAGTCTATTATTAAGAGACCTATGGGCATTTTTAACACTTAACTGATAAACAAAGGGCTCTGTCCACCATACATTTTGCAGTAAACACTCCTTTTTCCTTTAAACCTGCACTTGAACAAAAATAGCACCAACTCTTTCATAGAAGTCCTCTCTCTTTTCATCATAACATTCAGGGGCTAGAACTTACACACGAAGTTTTGCATTCATTTTGGCGAGATCATTCTTTTTCCAGAAAACTCAAAGGGAAAATATACCTCTTCAGTCTCCCAGATCTTTTCATCTCCATCGTACTGCTTCATTCTAGCTGGAGCTGATATGCAGCAGTTTAATTGATTGAAGCACAGTGTTTTGGATCATAGTCATTATTATAAAGATGCTTTTTCAAGCATATTTGTTTACATTGCTTCAGTGAGAATAAAGCTTAAGCACTGTAAACCTCAGTCCTTTTGTGTAAATCCTTTACAAACAATCTAGATAAGACAGTAGAATAACAAAATGTGAGGAATCATCTTACATCTGCTCTGGTGTTATGATGTAGATTCTACAAGAAACATTAGATTTCTGACATTGGAGTAACAACATCTGGAAAATCACTTTCAGGATGTGAAGAAAACATCCAGTTAGTATTAGACCTGTATCACAACCTCATGAATTTCTGGCAGTCACTCCTATCCTAAACTAAGTAGCTTCTGCTTGGATATGAGGTCTAATTTCAAAAGCACAATCTTTAGGTCAAGACATCAAGGCATGTAGTATCCTATCACATATCATAAATGTTTGTTAAAACACCTGCATTTTTTCCTATTTAAATGCATAGTCAGGTTTTCAGGCTTCTTTCTATGCCTTTTAATGTGTAGTTAGAAAGTCCCTTGTTTGCCTCATACATCTTCTCCTTCAATAACAGACAATAATATCCTTCAATAAATTAACACACTGAGTTATTTTATTCTCCTTCTATAAGACATCAAATTATTTCTATACTTTTCTATATGCCCCTCAAACTCAGTATCATTTAAAATTGTGGACACTGAATTTGTTATTCTATTGTTACCATCCCAAGAACTATATTCTGAAGTGTCAGATTTTTGTCCCTTTATACAATTCTCTGCTTTCATTTATCAGCCACCTTGCAAAATTCTACAAGTTTTTAGCTTTTTTATTTCTGTACTATAGTTTGACTCATTGAGAAGTAGCAAGCTTACAGTCACTTTCTTCATATCCAAGCACAAAGAACTCCCAAATCCAGACATGAATGATGGCTCACTACTGATATTTTAGAGGGGTACACTGTTATTTTACAGTGACTGAATTGTGCTGTAACCAAAGAATCATAGAATCCCAGAATTATTACGGCTGGAGAAGTCCTACTGCCCACCAGTCTCCAATACTGGTTCCTAAGTATCTCATCTCCATGTTTCTTGAACACTTCCAGGACAGTGGCTCAAACACTTCCCTGGGCAGTCTGTTCCAGTGCCTGACCACTCTTTCAGAGAAGTAGGCTTTTTTCTAAAATCAAAACTAATGCACCTTGAGGCCATTCCCTCTCATTCTATCACTTTTATCCAGGAGAAGAGACTGACCCCTATCTCACCACAACCTCCTTTCAGGGAGTTGTAGAGGGCAATAAGGTCTTCCCTGAGCCTCCACTTCTCCAGGGTAAATAATCCCAGTTCCCTCAGCTGCACCTCATAAGACTTGTGCTCCTGTCATCTCAACAGCTTTGTTGCCCTTCTCTGAACATCCAGAACCTTGATGCTTTTCTTAGACTGAGACGTCCAAAACTGAACATCGTACATGAGGTGTGGCTTTACCAGATCTGAGTACAGGGGAACAATCACCTCCCTGCTGATAAATGGTAGAAAGTGGCTTAACAATCATCTCCACCAACTCCCTCAGCACTCTTGTGAATCCCATCTGGCCCCATGGACTTGTGACAGTCTGGATGGAGTAGAAGGTCTCTAACTACCTCCACCTGAATCATGGGGAATTTATTTTGCTCCCTATCCCAGACTTCCAGGTCAGGGGATAGAGTACCCTGAAAATAACTGGTCTGACTATTAATGACAGATGTAAAGAAGGCATTGAGAACATCAGCCTTTTCATTATCCTCAGTGATCACATTTTCCACCACATCCAGGAGAGGATGAAGATTCTCCCTTAGCCCTCCTGTTACTGTTAGTGTGTTTCTAAAAAAATATTGTCTTTTACTACAACAACAGTGGCCAGGTTGAGTTCAAGCTGGGCTTTTACTTTTTTAATTTTCTCCCTGCATATTCTAGCAACCTCTCTGTACTCTCCCCAATTTGCCCATCCTTTCTTTCACAGAGGTAGACTTTCTTTTTCTCTCAGAATCTGGCCTTCAAGAAACCCAAGTCTTTGCAGGACAGCATTTTTAGTGTTACCTTTTCCGCTAATCTCAAAATCTTCTCAGTGTATTAAAAAAAAGCTTAGCTGAGTAAATGGTTTTCCACAAAATCTTGTTGGCAGGTATTAAATATACACTTTTCCTTTATTTTCTTATGGCTTGAGCTAGTGCAGGTTGTTCAGTTACATTTTTTCTGGAACTTTGTCATCAACATATGATAACATTTTTCTGTGTCATCCCACTTGCCCATTTTAATATTGGTCTGATGTTATTTATCTTTTATTCCCATCAAATTCATTTAATGTTCCAAAAAAATTACTAATAAATAAGCAGTAAGAAAGCTAAGATAATTCCATAACCATCTCTTCTGGAAGCCTGATAATATTGAAATGTTTATATCTTGTGGATGGTTTTTATAGACCTTTTCTGCTGGTGGAGGAGAATCCACTTAAGTGTGGGGAGAAATGTCCAAGACAGATCAGGACAAGCATTTGTCCATACTTTATGAGGAATCTGCACAAAATTTGGCAACCCAGGAATTAGCTTTTGGGTGAGAAGAACCCAGCTGAAAGCAGTGTTACTGCTCTACCAATGTCTAAGTTCTGAGACCCACATTTGGAAAAAATAACACTCTGTTTGACTTGTTTCAAAGACTAAGCAAATTGTCTCTCCTCCACTCTTCCAGCACTGATTATGTCTGATTCTTGAATTAAAGCACTTTTTGCATTTTCAAGATGCTTTTCTTTTCCCCACTACCTCCTTTTGACCACATCTTCTGTGTTCTCTGTCTTTCAGACCGATTTTGAGAAGGATGTGGATATGGCTTGTAGATCAGGTGAGCACATCACAGGTGAGAATCAACAAGTGACCTGGTTTGGGGATTGAACTAGGCCATATCTTTTTTCCTTTCTACTTTATCTGTGTGTGTCATAGTGGCTTGCATGTGCATGTGTGGGCTGCCTGCCTTTACTCTTAACCCTGGCTGAAAGAAAGCAGTTCCCCTGATTTTCCCGTATACTTTGCTTGTCCCATTCCCCCACAGATCTCTTGACCATTTAGCTAAGATAAAAACTTAGCTCTGAAGTACTACTTCTTACCCATGGTCCTTGTAACACAGTGGCAGAGAAGAGAATCAAGGAAGAAGAGATGGGCTCCATCTCTTCCAAGTGTGATCCTTCTTTGCTTTAACACCTGCTGATCAGGGGCAGCCTCAGGTAGCTCTGTGCTCAGAAGGTATTTTTGAGGTCAGGAACCTGGAGAGCCTTCCCAACATTCCCACTGGCCCCATGCACATTTCTGGTGCAGTTGTAAGCTGCCTGTATATATGGAGGTGGGTCAGGTCTCTCCTTCTTTGCCTGCACTTTTCTCCTGTGTATTCAGCCACACACATTCTGAAGATCTGCATGGGCAGATTTTGCCTTTCTCCAGTAATACCCATCCCAAAGGGGTGTCTGCATCTTCTGAAGTCTCCTTTGCTGTCTGTTTGCAGATTTTGTCCTCTCCTGCTCCTGGCATGCCTGAGCATTTGGCTGAGATTTTGTATTGGTATTATCATTTTTCCCTTTGGTAGATATTTAGGTTTTCATTTACCTTCCCAGATTTCTCTTTTCCCAAGCAAGAGAAATACCAGCTCGCTTGGCATTTGCACATAATTCACATCTTCCAAACCAGGATCTTCCTTAGCCAAGGATAGTACATACTGTGTGTACAGTTCTTTTTTCTCTTTCTCTGTATTACTCTCTTTATTGCCCTTTCTTCCTTTATTTTTTTCCTTTTTCTTCTTTCGTTCTTTCCCTCCTTCCTTCCCTTTCTTCCCTTCTTCCTTCCCTATATGTCTATATCTTTTATCTAATCCATCATTTATATATCTGCTTCTGATGTATTTATCTTGCATCTCTCCATATATATCTTGCAGTCACTTATTTATCTCTGTCCTCAGCTGTCTGTCTTGCTGTACCTGTTATTTATGTATTTCTATCTCTGTCAGCATTTATCCTTGTCGTTGTGTTTCTGTGTATTGTCTATCACTGTCAGTATCATTTATCTATCTAATATTCTATCTATATCTTATTTATCTTCTTCTCTTTTTCTCTCAGCCTCACTCCCTCTCCCTGTGCCTATCATAGTCATAGTATATTTATCTCACTTATCATTGTGATATCTTATTTCATCGTCTCTTTCTGTCCATTTATCTTTTTTTCAGGGTCGCTCCATTTTTTTTTCTCTATTTCTCTGTCTCATACTCCCTAATTGTATTTCTAGCTGACTCTCTCATCTCATCTATCTTCCTCCCTGTTTTCTGACACTGAAGACTTTGGTTCCAAAATGCCATGTGCAAAGGGCATGCTCATGAGACCAGATATGATTTGAATGCATGCTCAGCACACTTTGTGCTGAAAATCAAGGCAGACTCCATACTCCTACAACAGAGCCTTTCTTGAAGAATTTTTTGCTATCAAATTGAGCTTCCTAGACAAAAGGCAGAAGACCCTTGATTAATAGCTCGCTAACAACCTAGATCTCCCTTCCTCTGCTCCCTCCCTTACATCCCTACTGTTTGTCTCTTTGTTGATGTCTGCCTGAAGAGATAATCATCCTCTGATAATATTAGTTTGCATCGAACTAACTAATTTGTAACAGTCACTATTTTGGGGACTTCTCTATATGGTGCATCATTGGAATTCTTAGGCAATCTGCTCTTTAAATAATACAACATATAAATAAGCCAATTGGTTCCTGGCTGTAGTTTGCCTTGGAAGCGTCGGCTCTCGAACTGACTGATTGCAGATAGGTCAGACACCACTCTTAAGCTTGTAACTTGGATTCTTTGTTAGGATTTACTCCATAGCCCAGTTTTGGAAGCTTACTGCTCCATGTTTGGAGATCACCCAGCTTCTTCAAGCCTGCTTCAGGCAGGTGCTGTGAGCAAGATCAATAAACTTTACTGACGCTGAGCTAAGGTCTGAGTTCAGTATCATACTACTGCGGCTTATGGTATGAACACATTATAATGCTCTGATTTATCTTAGTGTGCCCTGTAGCAACATTAAGATTACCATGGCTGCCATAGTTATGCCCTATGTGCCTAGCTTTCAAAGGTTTTTTTAAAAAAGTCCCTGTGTTCCACTTGTTTTTTTTATCACCCTGTGTTGCCTGTATTCTCTGTGCTCACCCAGCACCCACCATTCCCAATTTCAGTTGATAGAAAAATGGGTATGCCCTCAGTCCCATGGAATTCCTCGGCCATGTGCTGCCTCTGTCATAAAATAGAATAGAGGTCTTTTGGTTACCCCAAAAATGTTGGAAAAATAAAGTGGTAAAAAGATCTCAACATTTTAGTCTGAGATGGGAGAAAGGGAGATGTTCATTTATCTCTCCTTTACTGAGCTGAAACATTGGGTAAGTATCCTTCAGTGCCACATCATTTTGCCCCTACCCCACAGTCAGTGTTTTCCATCCCCTGGAGAAATCAAGGCTTGTGTCATAATCTTCTTAAGGTCTTTGTTGCCACCTGAAATCAACTGAGCAATAGAATCTTATTAGAAGTGAATAAGATGTTTTGTTGAAGACAGTGTTGTGTGGATATGAGTGTCTGTGAGTCTTGTATGTACCTCCTATGTGGCATGTTCACCTCATCCTCAGATAAAAATTTTCATCTCCTACTTAGGAATATTCATGGCACTCCTTTTTGTCCTCTAGGCACATTGAGAAACAACAAATAATTATGTCTCACAGAGGCTTGGCATAATGATTGGAATGTAAGCTTTCCAGAGAGTGAATCAGAAATTTATAACAAAATGTGATGTGTTGTACACTATCAAATCTAATCCTGAAACTGTTCCTGGGAAGAAGTTCAACCTGAAGAATTTGAGCAAATTAAAACAAAGAAACAATAATTGCTGATAATGCTGCATTTCAGCTAATTTCTGAATCAAAATCTTTTTTTGACATGAGATCAATCTTATACTTAAAATAAATACTGCTTCTCTGTAGGCTAGAATCTTACGTGTATGTGATATTTGCTGTGTATTATATATATATACACATGTAATACACACAAATAATTTCTTTTTGAGATAATGTTATCAGTATGATAATATGTTTCAATGTAGCTTGGAGTTTTGGCCATGATAGGGTTGGGAAATTCTCAGTGCAGAGGATTCTCTCAAAATGAGGAGGGTTTTTTTGGCTTTAGATTTGCATTCAGTATCCTGGACTAAAAGGAAAAAAAATATATATGAAAACATTTTGCCACTATAGCCTCATTCTGAGAGGTCCCAGGGAACATGCCAGCATGGTGTGACTGCAGTGGGTATATTGATGTGTTAACCAAAGCTAAGATGCAGTGCTGAGGATACTTTTCTGTCTCTCTAGTGCTGAATAAAGACATCACAGCCTGCAGGACCTCCACCATCACAGGAACACTGAAGCGCCCATCGCTACAGGATGAAGAGAAATTGAAGCTCAATCATCAGAAGGGGTCATCAAACTTTAACAGTCTTCCAGCCAATGTGTCCAAGTTGCATCTTCAGGGCTCCCCGCACTACCTGGGGGCCATCAACCTGAATGAGTTCAGCAATCACAGTCTCACTCTCAAGAAGGACAAGAATCAACCACCCAAGTCTATCTACATCTGTGACGGGGACATCTTCAAGAAGTTGGACTCAGAACTCTCTCGGGCACAAGAACAAACACTGGACACCAGCTATGTCATTCTGCCTACCAATACATCCACCTTACGGGCCAAACCACCCAAGGATGAGAGCAAATACAGCATCAATATAGACCAGATGCCCCAGACACGGCTGATCCACCTCAGTATGGCTACCGACCCAGGTTTTGTCGTCAAAAGTCCTCCACGGGAACCTGTGGCCATGACTTGCAGTGAGGTGCAAGGTTCTCCCATGATACAACAGCAGCAGCAGCTGCCTCCACAGAATATCCCCAGCGAGTCACAGATTCCCAACAGCCTGTGTGACACAGGTGACTCAGGGAACTCAGGTGTGGTGTCCAAGAGTGAGACCGTCTCCACTCTCTCCATGAGCTCCTTGGAGGTGAGCATGGGAATTCCATTGCTGTTCCAAGCCCATGATGTTCCCTGCCCTCAATACTGGCTTCAACAGATTTTTCCAGAGTGGATTGTTGGGCCAGATGTAGCCCACTGTGTAGTGCCATAATTATATTACTATGAGGAAACCCTGGCAGGTGATACCATTTCATAATTTTGTTTTAAAAATCCCTAATTACTTCCACAGCTACAGCCCATTGTGTGATGGGCTGTCTTTTACAACGTAATGCAAATTAAAATCAAAACTTTGGCATGTCAGAGCTGTTCATTTTAGGACAAGGCACATGACCAAGGCACATGCATTACCTTTTCTCCATCTATCCTCTTCTGTTTGCCATTTTGATGACTTCAGTAGTGACAAAGATAGGAAAATCCTCTTGATTGCAGATGTATCACAGAATCATCGCAGAATGACTTGGGTTGGAGGTAACCTCAAAGATCATCTAGATCCAACTTCTCTGCCATGGAGAGAGTTGCCAAGCACTAAAGCAGGCATTAGATCAGGTAGTCCATGACCCCATCCAGCCTGGCATATACTTAAAATATGACCCACAACTTTCTTTGCAACAAAAGGATGTCAGAGGTTTGGTAGAAGTGCAGCCCTCTCCTTCTTACTTGCAACAATTCAGTACGTATATTAGCAGTTTTCCCTAGTTTGTACATCTCACACTGATGTCTGCCCTAGCTTTTGCATTTCTCAGCACCTGCCCATTTTCTTGCCTATTATCAGAGAGCAAGTCTTGGCCGTTGCTGCCCAAATTTCAATCTTTACTGACTGATGGTCAGAAGCTCTGCTAGATCTCTTGGCTGAGCCTTCTTATTTCCTTCCCATCCTGTAAAAACCACCTTCAAGATCATAACTAGGACAGGGGTCTGAATTAGCCAGAATTCCATGTTCAGCCTTCCTTGGGTTTCAGCGCTTTTGTGAGTGATCCTTCTTATAGACTGTCACTTTCCATCAAGATTAGCCAGAGAAACACTTTAAAGGTAAAAAGAGAAGGAGCCTCTCTGATTCATCTACTGTGCAGTTCAGTCTGTGCCCCTCAGTTCCTTACTAACCTTCACCACCCTCTCTTTTTCCTTTGAATCTCCAGAGACGGAAATCACGGTATGCAGAACTAGATTTTGAGGTGAGTATATCAATTTTTGAATGTGTTTCTTGAAGGGTAGGGAGAGAAAGGGAAATGCAGCTTCATTTTTTTGCCACCACCTTTGTTGGAATGCAGCCTTTGCCAAAGAAGTTGGAAAATGGTGGGCAGAAAGAGTTGCACTGTGCTTAATAAGGCTTACCCTGTGCAGCTGAACAAATGGGTAGATTATATTGGCTCATGCTTAATTTATGAAGCCGTTGCCTTTGCATAAACTCTTGTAAATGAAGATCCCATGTCAGAGTGCACAAGACTTATAGCATCTCTTTTGCAAATAAGCTAGTGCAAAAGGGCTACAGGTGGCTGCGATGCATTCCTATTTAGGAAACACAAGTACATCCTTTGCTTAGTGATCTAAAATGCCTTGACTTTTGTGCCAAAGCTCTGTTGCATGACAGAAAGGCAGGTAATATGTCTACATTGTCACAAACCATGATCAAACCTGGGTTTTCACACCTATTAATGAGCCTCACAGAATTTGCCCGGAAGAATCAAAGAATCATAAAATCAGTTCAGTTGGAAGGGATCCTTAAAAGCCATCTAGTTCAAATCTCTTCCAATGAACAGGAACACCTGCAACCAGATGAGGTTGCAGGTCCAGCCAGTCCAGCCTGACCTTGACAGTCTCCAGAGATCTACCATCTCTCTGGTGAACGTGTTCCAGCATTTCACTACCCTTATTGTAAAAAATGTTTTCCTCACATCCTATCTACACTAAGGGAAATGCCTGTATTCACACTGAAAGGATGGAGTGGAAAGCTTTGAAAGAGTGTCTATGGGGCTACTGGGAGCTGGTGCAGAACTTAGTCAAATCATGGCATCCTTGATGGCAGAGCCATGTCTTCCCTTAAAAGCTGGTGCCTTATTCCAAAACGAAGTCAGACTGAGGGCCCAAGAGGAGTTGTATTTAATGCTAGAGTCACTTCAGAGCTCAAGACTGGGAGCTTGTTCTGAAATTGAGTTACAGAGTGTGCATGTGAGCTGATTCATTTCTGTGCTGATCCTAAATTATATCAGCTACTTTCTCCAATTATTGACCACTTGGCACAGCACAAGCAAGCGATTTTCACCATGCTCTCACGCACAGAGGGAAGCCTTTATAGAAATATTTCCTTCATCTCCTGGTCAGTAGAAAGTAAAAGTAAAATACAGACTGACCAAATTACAAAGAAAATGAAACTGTGACGTGACTGCTGATAGAATTTATTTAGCCTAAATCCTATGTATTCAGATAAGCTCTGAAAATGTTTGCCAAGGAGGCAACAGAGCAGGCATAGGGTCAGCAAGCAGTTAAGAAAGGTAACAGAGCTTCCTGAGTCAAGCTGGTAGACCAGTGTACAAATTTTGCAACATAGACAGCTGGCATTTGCAATTTCAGGACAATCATAAGTTCAAAAACTAAACTTCTTCACTTTCTCCCACCATCTTATTCTGAAATTACAGTGTTGCATGTGGGTCCTCAGAGAATTTTGGAGCTGCTCTAGGGAAGCTGGATTTAGTCTGCAGTGAGATAGATCTACGTTTTAATAATGTATGTAGCTTTGAGAGGAGGAAATGTTGGTTTTGTATGACTGAATAGGCTTTGCTGATCTGTGGCCCTTGCATTTTCTTCAGAAAATCATGCACACAAGAAAACGTCACCAAGACATGTTCCAAGATCTGAATAGAAAACTTCAGCATGCAGAGAAGGAGAAGGAGTCTCCAACAACGGACAGCAAGGTTAGTCATACACCTCATGAACCATCACCTCCTGGAGACACACTAGTGCCAGCAGGAGCATTTAGGAGCCATTCCTGAATGCCTTACCTTGAGTTTTGCATACATTGCAACAAACACATGCACCACATCGGACATGGAGAGTCACAAAGGTACCACTAGTTTATCTACAGAGTGATTATCATCCCAGATGGAAAAAATCTTTCCTCATGTCTGTTCGTTATGCATGGAATCTGTTTTCTTGTCTATTTCCCATGTTTGTGTCAGTTCTTTGCTGCCAGGCTTTGTAGGGATGGAGTAAGGAAGGCCAAGGCCCAGCTGGAACTGAACTTGGGAAGGGACTCAAAGAAGGATAAGAAAGGCTTCCGTAGGTACATAAGCTGGAAATGGAAATTTCAGGTGAATGTATCTCCCCCTAGTGATAAATGCAGGCGGGCTGGTAACTACAGACAAGGAGAAGGCTGAGGTACTCAACAACTTTTTGCCTCAGTCTTTACTAGCGCCTGCTTTACACTCAGCCCTCAAGTTCAGAAGGTGGGAACTAAGGGAGCAATGCCCCTGCTCCTCTACTCCTCACTAATGAGAACTCACCTCGAGTTCTGTATCTGGATATGGAGTCTTTGGTACAAGAGGATGTGGACCTCTTGGAGTGCATCCAGAGGAGGATTCATCCTGCTGTGAAAGAACAAGGGGAAATGGTTTCAAACTTAAGGGGGGGAGATTTAGACTGGATATAAAAAAGAAGTTGTTTATAATACAGATGGTGAGGCACTGAAACAGGTTGCCCAGAGAGGTGGTGGATGCTCTATCCTTGTCATTCCAGGCTGTGAACAACCTGATTTAGCTGTTGTTGTCCCTGTTCATTGAAGGGAGTTGGACTGGATGACCTTTAAGGATCCCTTTCAATTCAAATGATTGACTGGATGATCTTGTAGGCCTTTTCTAACCTTGGTGATTCTATGATTCTTTGATTCCTGTTCAGGTCATCTCAGAGTGCTGCATCCATAACTAGGAACTGGAAACCATAACAGTCTTGGGAAAATCTGAGTGCAAAGAGAAGGAAGAAATGAGAATCATAGAATCAAATGGAATCTTGATATGCAAGGGACCAGAAGTTCATTGTGTCCAATTCCTGGCTCCGCATAGGGCTACCTGAAAATATCAAATCATGTGTCTGAGAGCTTTGTAGGGATAGAAGGAATCTTCTTTTCCACCTGCAGAGTCTGAGATAGAGTCCAAGGTGGGCACAGCTATTGAGAAAAGCCTTAGTGATGGGATTTAAGCTGCCACTGGGGCAGCTGATCATGTTATACGAGGCTTTCCTCAACCGAAGCAGGGAAGGAAGAGTCTTTGAAGAATGCAGGCTGAGGGAAAGATTTTGCAGCTTTTCAGAGGGATTGGTACTAGAACAGATATCTGCAGCCTGAGAAGTTAGTGATGTGGATAACAAAGATAAGGAAGGACAGTCTGATGTCACCTCCCCGATGTCTCAGAACATTAGGTCTGCTAGGCAGGAGTCAGAAGTTGCAGGGAAGTATATTTGCTACAGCAAAAGGAAGAAAACAGGGATCAGAGTCAGGCTGGCAGTAAGAAATGAAATTTGTGTTCTGCCCTTTCTCAAAGAGAGGGGCAAGATGAGTTGTTAGAATATTATTGGTCATTTGCAAGCAAAGTCAGTTACAGGAGGCACAGACCTTCAGCATGGCCAGGAAGGTGAGGTTTATTTTGGTGAGGTTTCTGTCATGGGACTGGAGTGCAGAATGATGGAGTAAGAGATTTAGTCTGTGATAGTAAATAATTTCAGAGCCTTTGGGTTGCATTGAGATCTCACAGCAAAGTTGTGCTGAGCTCTGGAGATGAGTTCCCAGCAAATCCTAATTTTACTGTGCTTGGCAAGGTGTCATTATGGGCTGTCCAGTGTTATAGAATAGAAATAGTAAATCTAGCAGAGAGATTCAGATCAAAGAAGCATATGTTGCCCTAAAATCCCTAAGTATCTCACTGAATTTTTTATCTGTGCTTTTTTTCTATTTAGGTATGCCTCATTTGTAAAAACCTCAAATGCCTAAATACCATGTCAAAGCTAATCCGTGTTATGTTTGCGGGAGGGTTTTATAGATTGAGATGTTTTGGGTATTTCAGAGATGCAACTGAATCTATCTAGAATTTAAGTTGCCAGAGTCAGCAACAAAGAGCTTTGAACTGATAGAAAGCTGGGAAGGTGACCTTTGTATATTGACTGAGCCTTATTCCTTGGGTGTTATTCCTTGGAGGGGAAGCTTGCAAAGATCAGTATTTGTAAGTCAGTAGTGGCTATTGGTTTAGTAACAGTCAAGGCATACATAGGAAAATAAATATCTTTCTTCACTCTTTTTTCTTCTGTTTGCTGCTAGGGACTCCAATAGAAATCATGTGCCATCTTCAGCTTGCCCTAGGAAACCAAACTGATGATATTAAGGATTAAACCAGCAACAGAAGAAATGTTTTATGCATGTCTAGGTTATAAAATGATGGAGAATTTCTTTTGGTGGAAATGATGAAAGTAATGTTAGCATAAGTCTGGCTTTTGTTTTGCATTGGAAAGCACTGTGGACTAGTCCCAGGCCTTTCCATAATGCATGGCTCCAAACACATGCACCAGCAGCAAACTCCTTGCCTTTGGCATGAACAAGGTCATAAGGATCCTAGAACACCCTTAAATCTTTTCTCACATAGTAGCATAGAGCAGAAGGGACCTTTACTATTTGCAGGCTATCTGCCTGCATTGCTGTATCTTTGATTTCACTTTTGAATAAGTAACCACAAAGTCAAGCTACCACATCTCACTCCAGCCTGGCAATTTTCTAGCCTTTCTGACAGCATATCCCACTGTCCTACGTCCTTTCCAAGATACGAAGCTTTTCCCTATCTTCTTGCAATTCATCTCTCCTCTTTCAGCTCCAAGGTCAGAAAGCTGTTGCTGAGACTTGGACTAAATGTCTACATAGGAGAAATTGCCTTTGGGAACTCCTATGGTGCTGACCTCTATTTAGGGTTTGGTTTGATTTTTATTTTTGATGTAAATCATAGTACTTCAGCACATAGGCTAAAACTGACTGTTCCATTGTATTAGACACATTTCAGTTTAATTATTACAGTGGAAGAAAGCACCAGCAGAAGAATGGGAGTAAGAAGAACAACAAAACTTCTGTCTCTTTAGGAAGGGAGATAGAGAATTCAACCATCACATGTGTTTATTGTCAAGAGTTTCTCCAACTTCAGTTGTAAAACATGATTTTTAGCAGATTTTTAGCAGAGATCTGAAGGTTTGTACCAACACATATATTCTGCCTCTCCGAGTACAATGACATGTTTAAACTTTGGATAAGTGACATGGCAGTGTACAGTTCAAAGATTAAGAAGGCTGCCCTTTTCCCAAAATAGTTACTGGCAGACCTGAGAACATTATCAGAGCCTCCTATGCATTTGAGCTGTTCAGCTTTTCAGCTTTACAACATCAATTTCTGAGAGATATTACTACGTTGAGAATGGCCCAAGCCCAATTAGAGACAGCCTTGACAAGTGTCTCTGGGTTTGTTTCTCTTCCTACAGACATGGAGGCAGGTGTGGGGAAGAATTCTGCTTTCCCTTCATCCAGAAGCCTAGGAGCGTTTGCTCAGACTTCTCTGCTCCCTTACACTGGGGTGGAAGATCTCTTTTCTATAGTGAGGAGGCAAAAAGGGATGCAGAAGGCTCTGCTCCTTTAGGTGAGGATGGGGAGACAACAGTCTCAGTGTCATGTACAGCTGAAAGAGAAACAGCCTTACACCATCAGAGCATCCCAAGAAATCCAAGCCTAAACAAGCTCTCCTTAGAATCATAGTCATAGAATCAGTATGGTTGGAAAAGACCACTAAGATCTTCTAGTCCAAGTATTGACCCACCACCACCAATATTGATCACCAGCATGCCCACTAACCCTGTCCCTCAGTGCCACAGCCCCATGTTTCTTGAACACCTCCAAGGACAGTGATTCCAACACCTCCCTGGAAAGTCTGTTCCAATGCATTACCACTCTTTCTGAGAGTAATGTTTTTTTCTAATATCCAACCTGAATCTCTCCTGGTATGATTTGAAGTCTTGTCCTTATGAAAGAGATAGTCTATTAGGAGAATGGGAATACTGCATGACCACCTTTAATGCATTTCGCAGGAAATTTTGTGGCATCAGTGTTTGTAACAGTTTGTTTTTCCACAAACCAAAGTTTGCTGCTAATGTTAAACAAACTCTGAGCCTCACTAACACAGAATAATATTCTTCTCTGGACAAAGTGCTTGGTTTTCTGCGGGTTTTATTATTATCATTTTAGTCCATGAAATCTTTTCCATATGGCATGGACTTTCTTATATGTGAATCTCAGCTTTAAAAATGCTCCCACTGGAAGTAAGCTCAGCTATTCATAATTAAAATGACATTTTCCAGCAGGATGTCTGTTCAAAGCATTCAAGACTGTTCATCTACCTACATTTGTAGAATCATGGAATCATCATGCTTGGAAAAGACCACTAAGAAAACCTAGTCCAACCATCAACCCATTCAAGCCTAGACCACCATACTGCTGCAGTAGAATAAATAGATCTTATGCATTCGTGTCATTATTAACTAATTAAGGATGTTGATGTTATTACCCACAGCTAACTTTTCAGTGAAAGGGAATGTTAATATCAAAATATTACCAGACAGACATACAGCAAAATCTGATGACTACGAGTTGAAAAGTCAGATGTTTCATTCTTTAACAGACCTCTATATGACCTTATCATGGGCTGTATTCAGTTTCAACTCTCCTGAAGTCTTCAAGTTTAGATGAGGCAAGGAAGATGAGGATGATTTCATTTTTTTTAAAATCTGCCCTTATTCAAATGGAAATTACAGGATTGCTGACAAGACTCCTTTACTTCTGTTAAGCTGTACTTTGGGATAGATCACCTCTGTCCCCATAAGGGACTTTGACTCAGGAGCAT